AACTCAAGTCAAACTCAGTGAAGTTTACTGTATATATTTTGTACTGCTGTATTTATACTCTTTGCTTTGCAATATTTTTTTTCCTTCACTTCACAGGGTTTTCGATCAATAATTGTCATTCCAGTCGGGACTTACTGAACAGCCATGACATGCCCCAATCCCCCATTCCCTGCATATTACGTGGTCTCCGCAACATTTGTGAGGCTCGTGTCACGTTTTCACTGGTTGTGATAGTTCACAGCTGGCTTTCGGTTGATCTGTTCCCTTCCATTCCGCTGACAACTATATTAGCTTTGAAGCAACTATACAGGGTTATTATATCGGATTAGATTGCCTGCCAAATTTAAACTTCTTTCTTGTGTATTCTTTTTTAATGGTTTGAGGTCTTTGTTTAGTTAATTGCTGGTTAGTTGCTGCTTCCTACTGATATTGAACATTAATTGAACAATATTGAACATCAAGACTATGTATTTTTCAGTGCTCTTGATCCAAGATAGTTTTTCTGTTCGATGCTATTTGTTGTTCATGGAATGTGAGCTGCTCTTCCATTGCTATTCACTGCTATATAATTTGTCTTGAAGCTATTTACTTCTGAACAATCATTTTTTTCGCGCACTCCTCCACTTGTTTCTGTAGTTTTTGTGCATCATTCATATTGTTGGAAAGCAGCACAATGTCATCAGCAAAATCAAAAATCTTGATGGCTACTCTTGGGTACAACATGCTTTGAAGTACTTTCTACATTTTTGTTGCAAATGATGGCACTATTTTTTTTGTGAATCGATTTTCTAAAATCATTATCTGCTATCCTCGGGGGCGGACATCCGGGCATTTTCTACCGCCTGGCAACCCTCGCGGTGAAAACAAAGACCAAAAACTCGCAGAAAACGGTACTTTGCGATGGTTGTTGAGAGTCCCCTGAACAGTGTAACAAGATTAGCCTTACGTGTGTAACATATATGAATTTGGTTGTTCAGGATTACATCAAAGTTGAGTTTGTGTTGTTTTCTCGAGTTTTCACCGGCTCCACCGGCGTTCCACAAACAATCATCTACCTAAGAGCCTTTGCGTTTTTAACGTGTGTTGTTATCGTCGCTTGGGACTCAATTTCCGCGCTTGCGCAGGTGACGTTCTTCCCGCTTTTGATTTTACAGTTTAATATAAGCATACATTGGATTGTTTTTATTTTGATCTCTATATGAAATGAAAGTATGGTAGTAAAGAGATATTTTGTGACAAACATTAGTCTGGCTTTAATACTGTTGGCTGGTAGAATTATAGTAACCACCATAAACTAATTAAAAATGTTTCGTTCACTATACCTTTAAAGGTCACATGCTAATATGTTGGTATAACATGTTATACATGTTTATGTATGTTTTTAAATATGTATAATTTTAATTATGGACCCATTTATTTTGACTACATGTATTTTACGATGTCCGTTAACTTGAAAGACATTGTCAAACTCAGTGAAGTTTACTTTTATATATTGGTTTATTTCTTTTTAAATAAATAATGTCAATTATTATAAAAGTTGTCAAGATGGAAGCCCACCTCAGGTCAAACTCAGTGAAGTTTACTGTATATATTTTATCTAGTTTCCAGTTAAAATGTGTATGTATTTTTTGTAGGACATCTTTGTGAATTGTGGAATAGATGGACATTTTTCATTGGCTACAAATCTTAATCGCACGTTCTGAAACAATATAGAAACAAATTTTGTGAAAGTGACAGAAGTTGACTTTCAAATGGTTAAAAGTAGAATATTGTTTTAGTTTTAGTTGTTTTCTTGCTATGCAGTGAGCTTCTTTGGATTTGAACACTAATTTGTAATGAAGATCCGTGCAAATAAAGTTGGTGTCAATAAAAAACTTTGTTGCAGCGTGATTTTATTGTGGGACACACTGATTTATAAATCATTGTATATAATGTAATCTAGTCAATGTTTTACTATTGTCAGTAACTACCTTTAATAATGGGTTTGTAAATCCACTCAAAGTGTACAATACAATACAGTTTTGAAGTGGGTTGCTGTGACAACAAAATGATGTTTATAATTTAAAACAATGTCATTCAATTCAAAAACTGCGTTTGGGTGTAGAGGTGTTTATCAGATAAACTAAAGAATATAATCTTTATTGCTGGGCGACTATATATTGAAACAATATACATACGGCTTTCGTGTCGCCCATTCACATCGCTAGAGGGCGCGCCTAAGAAATAGGTCTCAATGACTGGTCTGGAATTGGTGCAAGTTGCGTCACTCGTAGACTTGCTTGCAGTCTGTTGCGATTCCTATGAAAAATTCTTGAAAAATAAATATAAATTGCGTAAACGAGGGGTGAACGCGAAAGTCATGTGACCACTAAATCCAAACAGATTTGCCATCATTGCAAGCGCCCTCAGAATACCGGCCAGATTCGCCTCCAGTGGGTTTGGTAGTGCTCCGCAGCCAGTTGAATACGTGTAGTATGTTAATAACTTATTTCAGTCAAGAAGGAAAATATATTCATAGCGGATCCACTGGCAGACACGTACGCGGAACAGCGCAATCGTTCTTCGTTGGCGATGGCGCTGTTACTGTCAGTGCATATTCCTTATCGGACGCTACAACTTTCTTTTTTCAATACGTGTCAAACCAGTGAAAAATATAGAGACAGTCTTTGTTTTTACACTTATTACGTATATAATTCTATTAATTGTTATTCTACAAATATCTCGGTACCCGTGGAAACCAGTGTGCGTAACTGACACAAGTCAGATAGACTCACTGATGTAAACACCTTTGCCACCATGGTTACTAAAAATGAAGTAACCGTTCCTCTGCCTAATGCCCTTGTTTGAAATGAGCATATTCAAGTTAGTTATGATTATACAAACTACAACATACGTGTGTATACAATTTATCTTATTATTATTATTAATTTAAATTTCAATCTCTCACTGACAAACGAATTTATGCTGTTTTGAGGGTCTACTATTATATTTCCTATGAGCTACTGGAATCATCACTCATTATGGAAGTGAATGAACTCGTGAAAATTCTTATTTCATTGCAGCATTTATTTTTTTAGTTTGTTACCTTTTGTTTATTAGTATGCCATTGTTTTGGTCTTCATTGTTACATTGTATGGAGCATATACATGTACATACTGAACATTGTATTAAATTTGTTGTCTACAATTATTTCATCCACATGGCATAAGCTTGTATAATGTTGTAATCATTATTTTTATTTGCTATTCTCTTATCTGTAATTTAATGTCAAAAGAATAGATACAAATTGACCCAGTACATGTTCACTTGATGGAACAAAACTTGTCCATTTGGATAGCTAATTTGTTTTTGTTGATTCCTAACAAAACAATTATTTTTAATGATAAATCATATACAAAATCATTTGATACATTTATAAGAAAAAAATGCTATATTATCATTTAAGAATAATTTTTTTTTTTTAAAACCTATATTAAACATTCAGAAAAAAATAAAACAGTTTGAAATTGTTTCATGGGAAATGGTCTTGGAAATGTGCATTGAAAAAATATTTTTTTTTAAAACGTTTTATATTTTTGTTGTTTAAAAAACATTTTAAAATAGTTTGCAAAACATAACTGTTTAGCTCACACTCTGTTGTTTTATTAACAGAGGTACATAAACTAGCGATTTATTTTTAGATATGAATAACTATTTTATGCCAAGCAGTCACTTAGCACATGCATGCACACATAACAACTTCTTATAAGGAATCTACATGAGCAATACTAACTGGTTCTCACATTTGTGATAATTACACAATTTATAATATGCTTTCCCTTTCATGTACATTCGATACATGGTTTTTAGTATAGGAACACCCAGAGTATTTTTCAAGGGTTTCAGTAAAGTGCATATTGACTGTTTTACAAACCATTATTACGCAGAGAACCCTTCTTCAAGGTGGTGGCACTTGCAAAAGTTTGATTAGAGTCGGTTAACTGATGATATTAGTGATTGTTTAGAACAAAATTTTATGTTCATCATCTGAGAGGTATGTAGTGCAAACATTACCGCTTGTCAGAATATTGGCATTTGTGCCCTAGCCCTATAACATTAGGTATGTTTGGCAAATGTTCTCCTGCGTTCGGACACAAACACATATATTAGGGTAGTAATATACTCCTTATCCCTGTTCGGAATAATTTAACAAAATTGCTTGACTTTTAAAAATTAATTAAACCAGATTGTTTAAAAGAGACAAACCAGTTTTTAAAAAATCGGTACTTAATAAATTCAAAAAATCTCTCAATGAGGAAAAGTGTGCATTGTAATTCTAATCACCACAGCCATAAAGACAGCACGTTATTTTTACAGAATAGCGCCCTTGAGTTCATAAAAGAAACGCCTATAAAAAAATAGAGCCCTTATCTATTCAACAGAAACGTGCATTTGAATGTGGATGCAAAAAAGTAGATCAATGAAAACTGAGCATCTCATTTATTGGTACACATTGCAGATAGTCATCTTGCTACAGATGACTAGACACAAGGATTGTTGGTACATAGCTTA